AAGGTGAGGACGGACCACAAGCCCTTTGAAAGAATATTCGGAATGCATCGATATCTTACCAAAGTAGTAAACAACCGTTTGGTTCGTTGGGCTTTGTATCTAATTGAGTTTGATTTTGAGATCCAGTACATCAAAGGACAGGATAATTGTTTGGCTGATTTTTTTGTCTCGATTTTCACTTAAGACACAAGAAATATTGAATCCAGATGAGAGAGAGATTCGAGCATTGGTTCAAGAGAAAATTGACGTAGTTTATCCAAATCATGAACTTGTACTGTGAGTATAAGAAAGACCCAAATATGAAAAAACTTATAGACTACCTGGAACATGGTTGGCCAAAAGATACAGGAAACTTGCCACCATCCATGAAACCATATTGGAATAAAAGAGATGAGCTAACATTAGAAAACGGTATAATCATGCGATTAGGAAGAATTGTGGTGCCACAGATTTTGAGAGAAAATGTATTGAAAGAACTCCACAAAGTCTATGAACTGGAATACAGGTTATGAGATACCTATCAAGGTATTATGTTTGGTGGCCTAATCTGAATAAGGATGTTGAGTTGTATGTTCGTAGATGCCACCCTTGCCAAAGCAACCGCTCATTTGACACAGAAGTACCTCTATATCCTTGGAATGTGCCAAATGATCCTTTGGGAGCGAATTCATCTCGACTTCGCAGGTCCATTCGACAACCGATTCTGGTTAGTAGGAATCGATGCTTACTCAAAATGGGTCGAGATCGAAGTAATGGACCATACAACTACTGCTGCTCTTGTAAATATATTACGGACTTGGTTTTCGAGGTACGGTGTTCCTAAAAAAATTGTATCCGATAATGGCACTCCCTTCACGTCCCATGAGTTTAAGACTTTTTGTAAGAACAATAACATATGTCATGTCACATCGGCGCCGTATCATCCAAAAACCAATGGTTTAGTAGAGAGGATTATCAGAACCTTCAAGAGTCGATACAGTGCTTGCAAACAAAAAGGTCTAAGTTCATCACTTGCACTTTTACAAGTATTGCTTGCTTATCAAAACACCCTACAAAAGACCACAGGACAACCACCATCAGTCCTTTTCTATGGTAGAAGAATACCAACAGCTTTGGATTGGTGGAGATGTAATAGTAGAGAGAGAATAGAAAATCAAGTGTGGCGACAGAAGTACTACCACGACTTGAAATCTAAACAAAAGGAGTTTTCTGCCAAACAAGAAGTGTGGGTTCAAAATGAAACGAAGAAGGGCTGGAGACCAGGAACTGTACAGAAAGGACGGGAGAGCTATCCTACACAGTTTTAGTTGGGGGAGAAATAAAGAGAAAACATGCTGACCAGCTGAGAGCAAGAGAAGGTGCAACTGATCCACCTCAATGGAAAATGGAACCTGAAAATGATGATGTACGTAGTTTCGGAAACTCAGTCTAAATTGGGTGGGGAGAAATGTAGGATTATTGTTATCATCTGAGTTATGAATCATCTGCTATTTGGTTTGTTTACATTATTATTGTTTTTTTAAATAAATAGTTTTGATTGAGTTGACTTAAAATGAGTTTTAATAATTGACGAGGTGTTAGCTTGTCCTACGTACGGGAGTAGTCAGTTAAAACTGTGTATAATTAAGAACAGCTAGCTTAAAAAAAATTTGATTGCAGCCTACAGTAGAAAGAGTAATTATGAATTGAGAAGTGTATAGGCCTTGTCAAAGATATCACCTTCCAATTCCATCGCATACCTGCATCTTCCATTATCAAAATCACCACAATACAATTACTCATACTATACACAATTTCCAGTAGGTCTGAATAATCGTCCACACATATCCTTTATATCAATTTCACTGCATCAATTGCTAAATAAATAAGTGTAAACAAAGAAACTAAAAACAACAACATATAGTTTGTTTTGTTAAACAGCCGAGTCAAAAATAAATTAAAATATTCATTTGAACAAAAGAACTGGTCATATGTTGAAGGAATTTAAAACGTAAACACGCTAGTAAAGCTAGTGACGTAATTATTTGTCTATGTTTATTATCCATTCCGTTATCAGTTCTAATATCCTTAATAATTATTAATTAAACCACCCTCATTGAATCAATGTACACCGTAATTCCACATATTCATTTATTTAAACTATAAAATATACAGAGCCTCCAAACTTAACCACAACTCAACAAACGCCAAACAACTTTTTAGATTTCATAAAAGGATGGTTAGTCTAATTGCAGTATCCAAGGTCAATGATGACGTTGTGCTCAATCTATGTCATTCATCTTAACCTCATAATTCTATAGAGCATTTTTATATCTAAGCAGCTGTTAGTTAAAACAAATTATATTGCACTAAAACAAACCGAAGATTACAAAGATTACTTAAAAGAATAATTTGAACATCCTAGTATTTTACTATGTATATTAAAATAATCTGTCATCCTCTTATCGAAGGATTAAACGTATCAATGATTAGCATTACACATAGTATAAATAATTCAACCATTAGTATGTCTTTTAATCTTATCCAAATGCTGAATTTGTGTTACAAACGCTGAATGTTTACAGCTGTTATGTTAAGCAAATTATATTATACCAAAAGCTAGTTTAGAATCTTAGCGTCGGTTGCTAGACTTTTCAAAAATTAAAACTTAATTTCTAAATAACTGGGACCCTAAACTAAAATTATGGCTTCGACATTCCCTAGTTCTCAAAATTATCTTACTTTTAACACAAAAATCTTGAAAATCCGTCGAGTGGTTGATTCAAAATCGTGAAATAAAAAAACCCTGTTACGTTTTAATATTATAGATTATTCTATACTAAGTTTTATAATTTTGATTTATAGCTAATTACAGATGTAGAGTATTTTTAGTAGAATATCTATCTCGGTTTTGTAGAATTTATTTAATTGGTACTAATAAACTTGTCACACTGATATTCTGATGGAAGAGGTTTTATTCTATGATAGGAAAATCCTCCTAAGCAACAAATACAGCAAACCAGTGTTATATTATGTATCAAATTTCTTTTCACACCCGTGCAAATAAAAAGAATCCAGTTGGCAGTGGCAGTGGCAGTGGGCTGGTTGAAGTTCCTCCATTAACAGTAGTGACAGGGTTTAAATTTGACCATTAACAGTGGCAGCTTACGGGTAAAAGTTTCTACGTTGACTGTAAGCAGAAGGCGGGTTTAAATATATCTGCTAACAGTGGAAGGTAACCAAAGCATTTTGGTTGAAGATTTACTGTTTACAGTTGTGGCAGGGGTGTTAACATTTGTCTTTTGGCAGTATATAAACAGATGTTAAAAGATTTTATAAATAGGGGTTATTAAAACCCCCTCATCATTTATAGGTATCATTTATATCAAAGAAATAGTCTGTTTAACTAAAATCCGTAGTTTACCAGTTTTATAAAAAGTACAACAAACTTAGATTAATGAGAAACAAGCATTGTCTTGTGATTGTCAAGGTCTAGGGGCATTTTTAATGAAGTTATTACAAACACGTTTGTCTTTCAGTGTGCACGTTCGTGTGTGTTTTATACATATTTTTATCATCAATGACAACCTTCATATACAGTGGAGGTAAATAACCTGAAGACACCTTGTACGGCCTGAAGATGATTCCTTAGCAGAACCAAAACTATAGTTGCCACAAGCAGTGGCGGCGATAAGAGCCCGTGCCCCCCCCCCCGCCAGTTTGTTCGCCAGGCCCCCCTCTCCCAATAAATTTAAAAAATATTATCACATGTATTAGCGCATAAACTTGCACTTAAGCTTGGCACGGCATCTCCCAAGGCACCGAGGCGATCATCGTCTTCCAAGATCGCGGCAAAATCGTGAATACTTCCTGTAGTACATTATCATAGTCTACCGTGATTTATTTATTTATTTGTTTACGGTGATTGCAACCAAACCTATGACATCATCAGATAACAATATCATCGTCCCCGCGTTCACGGCCCAATCCCTAATATCTCTCGCGACCCGTGGTGACGGGGAAAGATTTTTTCCGCTATCACAGCAAAATCCTAAATATATCTTTGGTGGAAAAGTAATGTCATTATCGTCTTACGCAATCGCAGCAAAATATTTAACATCTCCTGCGGCTGCGGAGACATAGTCTTTGTCACCTGCAGGGAAATGTCTATGTCTGCGATCCTGGCAAAAGCGTAGGCGTAATCTTTCAATTTCGTGAGCATGATCCTCGCGGACATAAAAGCTTTTACTTTTAATGGGGCATTATTGTAATAAGCACTGATAAAATCGGCTTGACCTTGATTCTCTGACTTTGTGCTTGATCTCTCAAGATTGTAGGCCAGGCTCTGCTCGGCTCAAAAATTGACATTATACTATATAAAAATCATCAGTTTCCAAAGCAAACCGATTTTCAAACCGATCTGATTTGGCCCCGAATTGATTGTCCTGGTGCTCTTACTGGTTTTAACAAATTTTCGGCATAAAAACGTATGGCAATTCTCATATAAATATTGTTCTGATAGGTGGCCCATGTGGCTGGGCTAGTCGCACAATCGCGGGCCTGTGTCCCAGTAAAATTTCCCAAAAAATTCCGATCAAGGCTCGCGGGGCCCTTCTAGCTCTCAGCCCCCCCCCCCCCCCCCCGCACCGCCACTGGCCCACAAGAAGCAATTTGGATTACTGAATGCAGGTACTTAAACCATTATAAATATTCAAACCTAATATGGAGGCTAACAACTCTTGAAAATGAAATGGAAATTTGCTTGATGGAAATAGTCCTTTTCGCTCCGAATTACTTTACCTTAATACTTTTCGATAAAATGGCAACCATACAAAGTAGGTATTTTAAGCCAAGTATGAATGGCACGATCTTGTAGTCTTGTTAGTGACTAAGGCCGACTTACTCCTTAGACACAGCTGTTAATTAATTCTGAGAAGCTAACCACTGAGCATCAGCAACACACACAATTTTAAATAAAAATATTGAATGGCAATAGGCCTAATTGAATTTGGAATTTTCAGGTAATGGAGACAGAAAAAATGATATATTTAGTGACTGAGTATGCTAGTGGTGGAGAAATCTTTGGTAAGTATTTCTAGTAGTAAGATTAAATAATTGTTTTGGTTGCCTATGCTGTTTAAAATTTGACTGAAAGTGAGCTAAGTTTAAATCAAGGATGGTCATGAATTTAGTTTAGAATAATCTAAACTAAAGGTAAACTGAAGTCTAAACTAAAGGTTCAAGGGGTAGGGGAATATTCGTATCATCGAGGTATTCTTAATAAAGAGGTTTGTTTTATCGAGGTTTAATACTGCCGTTATTCGTCTTATAGAGGATTCTCCTTACTCTGAGACAATGACTGAGGAAGGGAGAAGGATAGGTGGGGGTTTCATGTTGAGAAACGCTTCTGTTTTTTAAGAGATTCACTATGGAGGTTAAGATCATGAGAAATTTGTCTTTTAGAGGTCGCATTCGTCTTGTAGAGGTTTTGTGTAAAGAATATTCGTTGTATAGAGGTTAATCAGTCCTATCCCGTGTCACAAACAAATTCGTCTTATGGAGGGAATTCTCAGTAGGGGGGAGCAACAGTGTGTTGGTCCCCCCTACTGAGAAGTAAAGATCTCCGAGAGCGTGCCCTGTTGCCAGTTCTTCGTTCTAGTTTATTCTGTCTTCACGTGCCTATGCCCTAGCTCGTTGTCCACGCCTATCACTTCGTCTTTCTCAGTTTATGCTCATTAGTTTAACGATTTGTTTACATATTTTACCAACCTGGTATTATAATTATACCGAACCAACGATTTTGACTATTGGATTTACAGTCAATAAATGGAATAAAATGTCAGGAGGATTGAATCAAAATGAAGATTAAGTCGTAGATAATAATATAATATTGTATTCTATGTCGTTAATATCTTCAACTGGATTGCTACGAAAAGTATAAAATACTTGAAACTAAGCTAAAACAATTTAAGTATCAATAAAAACATGTTTACTTTCAACCAGTGGCATGATTTGTTAACATTTATGATCTTAATCGTACGATTTCTGTTCTTAATATTTGTGGATTTTCATTCGTTATTTTTGTGATCGTTATTATAACAGCCTTATTATGGCTACCATGGTACAAAGGGTGTTACTTTTGACACAGACACAGACATGATTATACAAAAATAAAGTAGAAGTACAAAATGAAATTACAAGTTCTAAAATATATTGAAATTAGGGAATTCATAACTTTTGATGATTTATAAATATAAATTTTAGTTTTAGAAACTCGTTGCCGCCAGAAAAAATATATTGTCGGGAACACCCACTTGTCATAAAGTTGTTGTGTCTGTAACGCCAAATTTCCAATTTACGCGGACCACTCCAAGAAATATAGAGCACCGTTCATGATCCGAATAGTTTTCGCTGGATGGGCGAGAGTGTCTTTATAGCCATTAAAATATGGCCTCACTACTTGAGAAAAAAATAACAGAAAACCTGATTTTTGTTAAGTTTTCTCCAATGTTTAACGATACGTCATTTATGAAACACTAATTATCTGTTTAGAGAATATGCCATCTATGAAATAACGAACAGCTTATTGTATAAAGATTATTTTTTTCTAGCTGTCACCATTGACTATACTGATAATATGTTTACATGTTACGCACTAAAAAGTAGAAAACTATTTATAAATATGTGGAGAGTATAAATACTTGTAAGATTTAAAACAAAAAACGTGGGGTGCATGCATTTGATAATAATACATTAGTTCAATCTAGGTGAAGGTAATTGTAAATTATCTATTGCATGCACCCCACGTTTTTCGTTTTAAATCTTACAAGTATTTATACTCTCCGCATATTTATAAATAATTTTCTACTTTTTAGTTCGTTTAAAAACGTTTTGCTTGAAAAAAAAGTTTTTTATTTATAAATTATTAATATTGGCACCATGCCACAATTTGGTAAAAGCTCTAGGCTATCTCTTGTTTCTTTAGGCATAGAAAAATAATTTTTTTTTTTAGATTAGTTATACATTTGTCTTTAAATTAATATACAATTTATTGAGTTAGATTTGGTTTTTTATTTCCGTACATATTAAAAACATGTTTTGCAATACGAAAAAAAACACATAAAAATTTAATTCATAAGCCAACAACTACACCAAAAAAAATATTTCTTATAAGTAAGTTTTATATATATATATATATATATATATATATATATATAAATGTGTGTGTGTTATACATATATTTGTTAGTAAACTGGCAAAATTTGAAAGTCTTGCCTTAATAATTTTTTTTTGTAACAAAATACAACCGACTTCAAACGCTCTAAAAAGAATGAAATAATTTCAATAAAACTTTTGTATTAGTCAAGCTCACGTATTTGAATTCGGAGCGGCTCTATGATGATTTTTGATACAAAATTGAAAGAGAATGTTCATATTGCAGGTGACTATAACTGTTAATTAATCTGCATGTCTTTTTCATAGTTATGCGTTGGGTGTTATTTTATTACCGTAACCAAAGATCGGCATTATAGTGGTATTAACGAGTATCTTTAAAAATATTATAATGTATTTAAATGTTTCTATTTAAATGCATTCATTCTGAAGTAAACATAAAATACTAGAAAATACTTCCTTTGATATATAAACAAAACAGTTCAGTATGTTTTTTAAATATTTATGTTATCCAGCTACAATTTATTGATTTTCAAAATACGTATATTTTATTTTAATTATACTTGCAGTTACAGCCGCGCCGACTTGAAATACATGAGCTTAACTAATTACAAAAGTTTACTTTATTGAAATTATTTAATTCTTTTTAGAGCGTTTGAAGTCGGTTGTATTAAAAAAAAAAAAAAAAAAAAAAAAAAAATTATTTCATGATTTTTAGTGACTGTATAATTTGTTATAGCCTATATTAATTACTTGAGATTTTTGATAAGCAAAACTGTTTGAAACAATCAAAAGTGCCACAGAACAATCATTATTTGAAAACTGCTTGAGTCATCTGTTCAGGTTACATAATAAATGGGTATAAAAATAAATTTTTTTAGGTATTCCTTAAAAAAAAAAATAGTTGTCCATTACATTAGGCCTAATGAAAAACTAAATGTCTTTTCTAGAGACATTGAAATGTCAGACATCATTGTTTCCTGCAATCGGTGTACTTCTACATTATAAAAAGAAATACAGTAACGTCTCAAGCCTTTTGGAACAATATGAAAGTTATTCCTCAGCTACCAGCACTAAAAAATCTCTAAAAAGTAGAAAATTGGTTGTTATCACGCATAGTACCTTTGGAAAATATGTATATGAAAGATTGGTTCAGCTAAAAGTGGTGTAAGCCGGGTAGGTGGTTTAGTTTGCTCAAGATGTAGTCGAAATTGCAAATCAGCTTCATCTAGGACTTTCCGAAGCAGGCATAATAGTATTGATATGATATAGTAACTGGGTAGAGAATATTAATAAACATTCCACATCTGCAAATGCATGTTTAGTAATTAAAATATTTAACACTTATAAGACGATTGACGATTATGTACTCTCACACTTCTTAGGTTGTGTAAGGAAAAATTTCATTTAATTTATATTTAGACCTCTTTTACTAATGCTTTGGTTTTCACAATACACCTTTATTTGTCAATATCATACAGCTATTCACTAAAACATATATGTTTTTATAAGTCAGAATATTCAATACTGAAAACAGAATGTACACAAATCAGGTCAAACGTTAAAATACCTTTTTTATAGTAACCCTAACAAAATGCATTTTTTCAATGTAATTTATTTAGGCTCTATGGCAAGAAATAGTTTATTAATCAATATGAAGCAACTGTTTCATGAAGAATTGTCTGTATCTTCATTTAAATGGTTTCATCTAACAGCTTTAGGAATGTTATTATTATTTATTGCCTTCTCTGCACAAATATAAACAAAATAAATGTTGAATATTTGTGGTTTTCAGAATTTTTCACTGAAACAAATATTACACTTAAACATAATATATACAGGGTGTCCATAAAAAACGTTTCAGGACTTTGGGATGAATGGATCCCCATACTAGAAGGAAGAAAAAAGTTTATGGGAAGGTATGTCCGAAAATGCATATTTACCCAGATATCCGCCATTTTGTTTTTTATACAAAAATATTTTTATCTGTGAAGTTTTTTATTCGATGATTATGAAACTTGGTAAACATGTTACCATACACAAGACCTATTACAGAAAAAATAATAAAGTTGTTCCGATTGTAAATTTCAAAATGGCGGCCGTTTGAATTTTTCTAACTTAAATAACTCGAAAACGGCTAATTCTATGAAAAAATGTCAATAATACTTTTTTTTAGCATTTTTAATTCTGTAAAAATAAGGCAAAGTTAGTCGGGGAACCCCTAATTTTTGCCTTATTTTTACAGAAAAAACGTAATATTTCAGTTATCTTTTGTCCGATCTTTTTGATCTTGGTATTGTTTGATAGGCAATTGAAAATGCTAAAAAAAAGTATTCTTGAAATTTTTTCATAGAATTAGCCGTTTTCGAGTTATTTAAGTTAGAAAAATTCAAACGGCCGCCATTTTGAAATTTACAATCGGAACAACTTTATTATTTTTTCTATAATAGGTCTTGTGTATGGTAACATGTTTACCAAGTTTCATAATCATCGAATAAAAAACTTCACAGATAAAAATATTTTTGTATAAAAAACAAAATGGCGGATATCTGGGTAAATATGCATTTTCGGACATACCTTCCCATAAACTTTTTTCTTCCTTCTAGTATGGGGATCCATTTCCCAAAGTCCTGAAACGTTTTTTATGGACACCCTGTATATGGGACCAAATAGAAACTCTCCTGGTTATTTTAATGGTGGAACCACACTGATCGGTAAAACAATCACAGAGAAATTGGTGAACATACATAGAAAAAAAAACATTGCCACAAACAAATTAAGAACCTTCTTTCGTTGGCAGTGGGGAAGTCGGTTAAAAAACCAGCTCACAGTGGTGGTGCTTTTTTGAAAAAGACTTAAGGCCTAAGCACATGGGCCTAGGCTTACTCTTATCACTTAGTCCTAATTATTGA